TTGAAAACTTAACTTCTGGATATAACTAGATTGTTACAGGAAGCAAATTGTAAAGAATATAAAACTACTAGGCTCACCATGTGCTAGAATTAAGGAAAAAGCATGTAAAAGTAAAAATAAATTTAATTTTTGACCATTTTATGTTTGTTCAAGTAGCTTTTGCAAATACAACTATTCATCAAGGCAGTAACTTGGCACCATAAATCTCACAGAAACGGAATTAAAGTGTGGTCTGGTTTTCATGCAATTAATTGCTATCTTACTTACATTATTGAAAATATGTAGCCTATGGGAGGTTGTTTCAATTGACATCTTTTCATGCTAATTTTTATCTGTCTATCTGTCTATCTATCTATCTATCTATACCCCCCAAAGCAATGTGGCTGCCCTGTCTCACCAAATGGGGATAATATAATAAGAGCCTTTTGGGGAAGGAGGCTTCCAGTCTTCTCATTGCTATATTATCAGCAGAATGTGATAATAGAAAAGGTCCACTACTGTTCTGTGACCCTTGAATGACATACCCTGAACAAGATAATTCTTTTTTTTTTTTTTTTTTTTTTGGTATCCAGGTTGGAACTAGCGACCTCATGCTTGCCCAGCAGGTGCTTATGCTGCTGACCTAATTCCCTGGCTGAACAAGATCATTCATGTCTTCCATGTTGAAGTCATTTTAAAAATTGTAATAATGATCCACTTGGGTATCTGCCTAACACCTGGATATGAATTAATTCACCTGTATTCAACAGTGCATTCATAGTAACGTCCAGTACAGTAGAGCAGACAGAACAAGCTTTAGTGGCTAAGGCGAAGGATCCGTGAGAAAGAAATATCGTGGTGATTTGAAGAAGCAGAAAGAAAACTAACGTAGTCAGTTCTAAAGTCCAGTACTGATCAATAAACAGCCTGCCAGCCTCAGTTTGAATACCCTGCTGTAAAGAAAGACTTTGGATCCTATGATGCAGCTATTTTGAGTTGCTGTGGTTTTGCTAGTGTATATTTCAGTACTCCGAATTTTGTGTTAATTTGAAAATTTAAAATGTAGTGCTAAAACCAACAAAAACAATCATTTAGCATTTATTATGTCTAAAATATATTCTTGTAATTTTATGCAAATATCATGATCACTATTATTCTGTAATAATAATCCAGGGAACTTCAGAGAGATTAAATAGTAAGTGGTAAAGCTGGAATTTGAGCTGTTAATCAGCAACTTAGAACATACAAAAGGCAAAAATGGAACAAAACCCTTTTTAAGTTTGATGTCTTGTTAATTATTTAAACAAAGTATTTTTGATTAATTGATTAATAGAATGAGATTTTAATATACTCTCTTGGTTCCTCCATGGGTAATTTTGATATTTTTAACTCTAGTATGTTTTGTCTGACAGCTCATCATTTCTTATAATGTTTCCTGACAGGTTCCTTTAGTGGGAAGATCCCTTGCTAACCAGCCTTGGCACCCCTACCAATCATGGGCATTGTCTTGAGAGGCCCTTGGGAAGCTTTTACTGCAGAGTAGGGGCTATGTTGGCAGAATGTGCCTTCATTGCTGGTTTGCTGCTTTGAAAGATTAATCAAAGACCAACACATTTCCAGGCTCAGAGGCAGGGTATATAGGAATGGTAGCAAGTTAGAAATTAACTGAGATACAGTTGGCAGCCATAAAGTAGAAAATTTTTAACAACTAGCAATTTATAACAGCTGAGAGGAAGAGGGAGGATGCAGAAAATAGTTAGAATTTAAGAGATGGACAGTTGCCTATACTTTTTTTTTCATGGTACAGTGCTACAGATTAATCCAAGGGTCTCAATACTAGGTAAGCACTCTACCATTCTACCCAGCCTAGGCTGATCTTGAATTTGCAATCCTCCTGTCTCAGCTTCCTTGAGTAGCTGGGATTACAGACACATGCAGCTGTGTCCCACTGGTTACACCTTTCCACTAATTAACAGGTGGGGAATGTGTGCTCTCAGTGAGAATCAAGTCTAGTCAAATAAGTCCTTTTCATTATATCTTATATAAAAAAAGCTAGAGAGAAAATATAAGGTGATTTTTTTAAATTAGTAAAACCAGAGAACAGATTCCTTGGATGTAAAAAATTTATATCCATGACACACACTGAGCAGCAATGTCTGGTCCAAAGATTGGATAGTGGAAAGATACTACATCAAGCTCCTAGGTTACCTGAGGCTGTGTGCGCGCGCGCGCGCGCGCGTGTGTGTGTGTGTGTGTGTGTGTGTGTGTGTGTGTGTGTGTGTAAGCCCATGTCTTTGGAGGTGGGCCATTTTATGGTTTAGACTTAAAAATGTCCTCCAAAAATCGCACATTTAGAGTGGGTCAGGTTGGATGGGATGGGTCAGTGATGGTATGACCTAGAAGGATACATTACTCTCAAATTTGGCTTTTCCCTTCACTCTCTGCTTCCTAGCTGCCATGAGTTGAACAGTTTTCCCCCATCATGCCTTTCTTCTATGTCCATTTCTGCCTTGCAGCCAACTGATCATGGTCTGAAACTGTGAGCCAAAAGGAACTTCTCCTCTTTGAACTTAGGGGTGTTATTTTTGTCCCAATGAAGGGATAGTGATTAACACAGACCATATAAATCTCATTTCAATTCTAGTCACTTGGACATAGGAAGGTAAGACTGAAGTTAATCTCAAACTTTGTGTTTAGATTTTCATTTTAGGCTTAGTAACAATGTCTCTTTACAGGAGTGGAAACCATGCAATTATGCCATTTACATAAATATAAGATTACCTCATTCTCTGCTGCTTTATAATTAAGATAGTTCTTTGCAGTTCTCTTTCATTCTGACCAAATAAAAATACATTTGCCCTCCATGGGAATGGAGGTTACATGGTTATTCAGTATCAATGTTTTTCTTAAGTTATCATTACCAGATACTCTGTGTTTTCATCAAAATTGTTTGCGAAGAGAATAATGATGAATTCATATGGAAAACATCAGAAGTGTTCCAAGGCATAAAACTGAAAATATTATGGTTCCACATACTTTGCTGGAATGAAAGTAGAAACGAAGATGATTTGCAGGTATAAGAAAGCCATAGCTATCAAAATGTGTCCTTTCCACAAATCATGGAAACACTGTTGGAAGGATCCATTTATGCTTATAATTTTTACATTTAGATTTGTTTCACGCTATGTCTACTAAATAGTGTCCTACTAACTAGTCAAATAATTCTCAAGGTTACTGGAAAAGATTAAATGACTTCTAGGTAGCTTGTTTCAGTGCATAATAACTTCATTCATAGCAGGATTTAAATGCTTGGCTCTGCAGTTTAAATTCTTGTCCTTAGTATTAGCACTGTCTGTCTGTCATCTCCATTATCGTAATCTCTGTCTCTCTCCCCATATATTTATATCAAACATATACATTTATAAATGTATCTGTCTGGCACCCTGCTCCTTTCATGTTTAGAATTAATATCTAGACTTATAACTCTTTATAATTTTTGTTGTTTTGTTTGTTGCTAATTTTTCATGTGCTATTCAAGTCTTTGAATTGAAAGACAACAGATTATTCTGAGAGAATAATGTTATTATTGCTGGAGCACTGCATATACACTTTTACATTTGTACCACTGTATTGTGTAACCTGGAGGAGATTGCTTTTTTGTGTCTGTTTGAGTTTTTTTTTTTTTTTTACCTTATTCTAAGTCTTGCTGAAAGATTTAGAAGTCTGTAATTTTACCAACTGCCTGGTAACCCTCACAAGTGCCTCTTGTCTTTCTGTTCTGGTGACTGCATCAATTTATACTTTGTTTTCAGACACGATTTTCTTGCATCTTGCATAACCAAGTCTGCATCATGTCTAGATCTTTTGGTTTTTACATTTGTAAGAAATGTCAACATATGAGAGAATAATAAAGACACCAACTGAAAATAGCTGGTTAATTGGACATGGAAGAAATCTCAGCCCACTCTGGATGAGGCAAAGAAGAAGAACTCTCAGTATTCATGGAGGAAAACGTGTGGATTCTGGAACCTGGAGTTTAAATGATAGTTTGTGTTCTTTTCTCATCAGTTCCTCCCCTTCCATAAAACCATCTCAGAATGGGTTATTGAACAAGCATTAAACTGTGTCAGCTCTGATTCAGAATTCTCCTTTGCAGACCAGTAAAGGAGATGAGAAAATGCTGAACTCCCAAGAACAAGAACTTACACTTGTTGCTTGATGCTAGTCAGTGAATGTGTTCCCTTTCTGCTCTTACCTGATCTTTGGGGTCTTCAGATGCTTATTTCTTGAATTTCCTATGAATAGAAGAGTTGGTTGATGATATTAAAATTTAACTTTATGACTTTCACTGTTCTGGAATTGACTTGGAATGCTGAGTAAGCTATCCACCACTCTTCACCCAGTAGTAACTTTAATGTAGGGTTGTCTCCCTGTATCTTAGCCTTGCTGTGTGAAGGAGGGAGGAAATCATAAGCAAGTTCTGAAGGAATTCATCTTATGGATCCCTTGGAGACATAAAGGCAGAGTAAGTACTGAGCCATCAACCCAGCGCTAGGGCAGGGCCGTGGTACAGTTTCCCATCAGAGTAGACTGGAAGCGCTACCTTTCCTTTACTCCAGTTTTTCTCTTTGAGTTTTCTTAAACTTTTACACCTTTTGCTAGGGAACCTATTCCTACAGAGCAGATAAACAGGAGGTGACACAGAGCAACCACGAAATAAAGTCTTTCTGTCCTGGCCTCATCCAGAACTTCATCTACCCACTGTGATCTTGAACCCCAGATTTTTTCTTCCTGCCTGGGAGGATGCAGAGAAGGTATCAGTTAGAAAAAACAGCATACTGTTAAAAATTCTTAAGCAGATATTTTACATCTTATGTAGTAATTACTATTCATTATAGAGTTCAGCTTTATGAAATGATCAAGGGAGTACTCATACATCTATTGACAGAGTTTTATTATAACATTGCACAAATTATATTATATATATATTTTTAAAATGTATACATAAAGTCAAAGAATGGTTTAATTTTTTTCCTGTTTCAAACAACTTTTATTTTTGGTGAAAAAAATGCAGACACATTTTACACAGCAAATGAATTTTTAGGTCACCCTAAAGAACAATTAAAAAAAATTTAAAAGTACATTTGATTTCAGTTTTTCTCTAATATAATCTTTACTACCATGGCTTGGCTTTCTCTGGACTTTAATAATGTAACCAGATTCTTATTCCATAAATTGATTTTCAGAAGCAAAGCTAAAATGCTTTGAAAATCCTAAATACACCTTCGTATTTTAAATAAAGGCTATTATGCATAAGCAGAGGTGCAAATCAATGTGTGTGCTTTAGACCCCAAGGCTGGCTTTCTACTGAGAACCAAAAAAATAGTGCTGATAACAGCAGTCACTAGAGGGTCTGGGTCAGGCTCTTCTCACCCTGCAGGGCACGCTGAAAGCCTTGTGGCATAGAAGCAGCCTCTCTGGAAGGCTGAGGCCACCAGTGCTCCCAGGGCTGGCCTGGTACATGCCTTCCAGCTAGTTGTGCAGGGACAGCCATGTGCAACAGGGAAATCATGTGTAGGCAGTTGCTTACTCCCTCAGACTCATACATTTCTAAGTTAGAAGCATAAACACTTGATTAGTTTGCAGTCTATGTGGAAAAACATATTTCAGTTTTTATTATGGCTAAGCAAAACAAAACACAATGTAACACAAACAAAAAATTAAGTATACCATTAGAAATAATGGGATTAAACAATGACTTAGTAAAGATTCAGCTAAGGTAATAATGTCAGGGAGCCGGTGAGGTAGGGTGTTCTCTGTGGACTAAAGGGTGAACATCTTGAACGACCAGAAGTGACTTAAAGAGCTGCATTACCATTAGGGTAATATGCACAAAATACCTCTAAACTTTCACTAACCTAAGATAGTTCCATTCAAGCACTGAATTGTTGTAGCTGTTTAATTCAGAAGCCAAGGCTGAAAAAACAGTTTATATATCATCACACTTCTATATCACTTTTTGACTTGAAAATTACAACATTTTCCCCAAATGCTGCTTATGATACATATTTACAAACTTCAATATGTGTTATTCTACTCAACAGTTCCTTTTGCTTTTAAGGAAAGCTGTATTTCGTCCCACAATGTGTGTAGGTATTAATACACCTGACCGTATGTCATATGTAGTTCATATCTACCCACTAATGCCAAAAAGAAAAGAACTACTTTTACAAAGTCTAACACAGGATTTGCTATTGAGATGTACATAGAAGGAAGTTCAATGTATTTTCCTAGATAGGTCCTTTAGAGGATTAAAAATGCATGAAGTGTTATTTACACCGTAATAAACTTATAAATGTCCTATGATATTTCTGTTTCAAGACTGAGTTTCAAGCATAGTTCTAGCAAGTTGGATGCACAAGCCCAAAGCCCTTAGCTTGAGAAAAGAGGCACAGCATGGTCTCCCTACACCAAAAGGATAGGGAGAAAGCAACTTTTGCCCAAGCAGTTCAGTGTGTTAGCAAATACTTTGTGATTCTTAAGTCGTTATTAGTGATATTCTTTTTTTTGGTCTTTTTGAGATAGGATCTCACTGTTCAGTTCAGGCTGGCATTGAACTCACTTTGTAGCCAGCCTGGTCTCGAACCCATAAAGATCCTCCTGCCTCAGCCTCCCGAGTGCTGGGGTCACAGGCATAATCACTGAACCTGGCCTATTAGTTATATTCTTGCATCAATTCAAGGATACAAAAGAAGGTGATGGAAACAACTAGAATTTTTGTTCCAAATGTTTCATCCACTAACGTACATTGCCTTTAAAGCAATCAGCATTTTCCTTTGGCATTAAAAGCACCAAAGTTTAAAAATGTTTAGGAAATTTTCCCACACAATATGATCATAAAAATTTTTTTTAAAAAGAACATAGAAATTTACTGCAATTTAAAAAAATATTATAAGAGTGACAACATATCTAGGTTTGTGGTATGGACCAAAATTTTTAAATTGTCATCATAATTAGTTTATAAGAATATCTAATAAATGTCACAGTAGTCCCATACAGTGAGTTCTGTTATGTTATTTTAAATAATTTGGTCTAGATATGTCACCAGTACATTATTTTTGCTCATCCTCGTCACTGACGGGAACAAGGATCTTCAGTACAAAGCATACTGCATGACCCCTGAGGGTCTGTGGAACCAGGGATACTGGAAAGGGGACAAATCATCCTTTCTGTCACTGTTACATTTTGTGTGAGAAGTGGATCAAAGATTGCAGTGGTGGGTTGCACAAAAGAACTAGAAGCTGAGTAATTCTCTGTTACCAGATAGTTGCCATGCTGCAGAGGGTCAGGGATGGGAATGGCCTGCTGCAGTGACCCATAGGTTGACAAACCATGAGCTTCTTGACTGCCCCAGAAGGTCTGGTACCTGTCAGGTCCTGACTGCTGGACCTCTACGGATGGGCCACAAAGGTCAACCCCAGTACCACTGGACTGAGCATGTGGCTGAGCTTGTTTGGCTTCCTCATCAATACCAAGGCTTATCTCTGCAAGTTTCCTAAACTTAGGGCCGAGTGAGTCCAAGAAGCTGTCATCCAGGTCATCAGCAATGAAACTGCAGCACCCCAGGGAACCCACGGGAGAACTGCGACCATCATCGGTGCCTTCGTTATCATAGATCAGCAAGCAGTCATTGGCTTCTTGGACTCCCTCTTCCTCTGCACAGGCAAATGCTTTCTAAAGATGGAAAGAAAGCAAGTTTTTAAGGAAGACTGCTGAACAATTGAACACTGTTCATAGTACTCGTGTTTCATTATGAATGGCCAAGTTAGGTAATCTACAAAAGTAAAGAAATACTTTTTATTCTAACAATCTAACTAACAACCTCATTCTGAAAATTATTTGGGATCTGCACAATAGCGTGGTTGACATTCCTTCAAAATTGAGGTCTACCTGGGCCCATGCATTAGACTCTTGGATTTCCCTGGATTTAGGTCTACATAGCAAATGGGTGTGATGCCTGGGCTCAATGTGAGGTTCTCTGTGTACAGACATATATATGTTAATATAGTTTTTGTGGTGGAGTGGGGAAGGTCTCTCACTGTGCAGGGTCTCAGACAGTACTCACTCTTGTCAAGAGGCTCTGCATAGATTCTTCAATCCTTGTGGTACCCTGACCCATCACTAGGGCTCACACTGCACCTTGAAATATCCTGCATCTTCAAGTTAGATTAGCACCTTGTGCCAATCTTGCCTGAAATACAGTTTCAGCCTTTATTTACTCAGTAGAGGCAGGAGATTAGGGCATAACCCATTGGCCTGGGAAGTAGGAATGACCAGTTAATTATAAAATCCCAGGACAGCTGGGCAGAACAGTTCCCAAAGCCCAGCTGGTAAATTTCTCAAGCGAACTCAAGCGAGCTTTTTATAAGACGGCCTAGACCTGATGTCAACCTGAGGAGGGAAAATACAGGAAGATGGTGGACACTGAGCTTTTCGCAGCTGTGTTCCTGCTGCTCTCATCCTATAGAATGTACTTATTTTCCTATTTTGACTTGACCCCAAATTGCTCTTCAGACCCTGTTTTTTCCCCTATCTTTAAAAAATGTAAAACTTTGCTACTATCTGCATTTGTCTTGGTCAATGTTCAGGACAGAAGCAATCTAGAAACCACTCCCAAAATCTGCTAACACAACTCTACCACACTTCTCAAAACTCCAGGTGAGGTCCTTTTGACTATACATTTTATGTCACCTGTCTTTTATCATCTAATCAGAGGGGAACAATCTGCCTCTGAAAGTCTTCTCTGCCTTGGTATCCATTTCCCTTTTTGTGCTCCGTTTCCTGACACTTTTCCCGCTCATCACTGATCCATCCCATCCCCTTTTTCCCTTTATTTTTGGGTCATTAATTCAGTGACTCTTGAATTTTTTCGGTCATGAATTCCTTTGAAAATGTGAAGAATATCTCTTAGGAAAATCCACGCATGTGGGTTTTGAACTGCCTTATAGTGTAAGCTAACAAAATAATTGTTTCGTATTATTAAAGAGGCTTCTGTGGATTTCAAAATACAAAAAACTTTTCCCTCAGTTATTTTTCTGTAAGATTCGAGTGGGACTTGACTCTCCCAGCCCTCAACCTGCCTGTCAGCAGAAGTACTGCTCTCAGCAAGGAACTCATCAGTCAGCACAGGATGCTGTAGAGATAAGATAGGACAAGGAATTTTGCAGGTCCTGGACCTGGGGACATCTGAAGACACCTGAAAGTTTATACTGAACCATCAAGAACTCTGCCCATTGGGGTTTAAGACTGCCAGAGAACTTTGCCTACAAATGTTTATTAAAATGTGCCCTGGCCTCTTTCTGTTCCTATAAAAGGAGCACACTTCTCTGTGTTTGGGGCTGACGGCCTTATTGCTCTGTGCCTGCCTGTACCCAGGCACAGTAAATTCCACACCAGGTTACCTTTACAAAGCCTGGTAGTCTCAGCTCCCTCACCCCATATTATATTTCCCAGCTAAAAGGGTGAGGAGTTGGCCACCTGCTATATTTTCTTGCTTTGGGGCTAATTTCTCATTTTGTTTGAATAGTGACCCCAATCTGGCAGCCATTTGAAGTTATTATTTTGACAAAAAGAAACCTAGTTTTTTTTTTTTTTAAAAAAAGTACTTTAATAAGCCATGAAAAATGAACCACAAAGCCACAAAATATAATCAAATAAAAAGATCTCTAATGTAAATAAGATAACGAACCCACAAAACTTGCCACTCACTTACCTGGGAAAAGTAGGAATCTAGGAAATTCATGTTTATGGTCCCATCTGTGTAGTCCTTGAGGGTTCCCCCAGTGGAATGTCTTGTCCTCGTTGTGCCCAGCCCCAGATGCCCAGGGGGACAGGGCCCAAGTCCAGCTCCTGCTCCAAATCCTGCCACAGCTCCGGAACCTGCAGTTGCTCCCACTTTGGTGGCCAGTTCCATTCCAGAAACACCTTCCACCACCGTCCCTCCAGTGTATGTATTTGTACAAACTTCTAGAAACAGGGGAGAAAATTCTCTGACATCTCATGCTGCGCTTTAATGTACTTCTCCCGCTGATCTTTGATGTCTATAAGCGGTTGTCACGTAAAACAAGTATGTGGGAGAAAATATAATTATGTGATTGAAGATGACAGTGTGTTAGGGGAGGCTGTAACAGAGAGGCCGTTAGAGGTGACCAAAGCTCTGAAAGCGCACAAATTAAAAAGATGTGTAGGGGAAATTAATTTCCAGTGACAAGAGGGAGAGATAGAAAAGTGCAAATATTCAGTGTGCACCCACAGCAAGCTCTGAGGCAGGGATTGGATGTTCTCTGGAGAAAAGAAATAAAGCATCTTGGCTTTGACATAGAAGCCAGATGGTGAAGTGGTGGAGCACAGCTATAATTCTTGTACTAGGAAGGCTGATGCAGGAGAATTGCTGTCAGTTTAAGGTCAGCCTGGAACACATAGTGAGATTCTGTCTCAACAAACAAACAAACAAGCAAACAAAAAAAGCTAGGGGAGACCTACATAATACAACCACGTGAATTGGTAGATGCTAATTTGATGTTTTGATGCATAAAGAAAATTAATGAATTGTGACTATTTTACCAATTATTATTATTATTATTATTATTATTTTGGTACCAGGGATTGAACTCAATGACCTTGCACTTGCCAGACAGGCGCTTATGCCACTGAGCTAAATCTCCAGCCCCTCTACCAGTTATCTTTACATGGTGCTTCATGAACTATTTTTTCCCCAGACAGTTTTGAATATAGTTTTTGTTAGGTAAGAATAATAGGAACAGTAAGTGATGATAAGAGAAGCTGATGAAGGCAGCCACATTTGGAGAAATTTTGTGTGAATTTTGAAAGCTGGCTACTTAAGGAGAGTATGCTTATTTTATGCTAAGCATGAAATTAGGAAAATATTTTACTATTAGGCATCATGTCTTACTGTTATTTTAGTTTACACTGTGGCTCTGGGATAATTTGAATAGAGCTGTCACTTGGTAAAGCCAAAGAAATGAAAAAAATCATTTATCACAGCATAAGTGATCATGTCCTATTATGATTAAATTTGAGAATTAGTAATTGAACTCAAATCAGGATATCATTAGTTGGGTGGAAGGAGGAAGTAGAAAAGGATCAGGGATATGCATGTGTGAGATGTTATCTGCAAATGAAACTCCTCATAACAATAGACAGTTGAGTGGTAGATGCATAGATGTTTCCTATATTTTTCTTTTCTTTTCTATATATGTGATCTATTTCCTAATTTAAAAAACAGTAATTAATTGCCTGCTAGCTGTACTTCAGTTTATAAGTTTGCAAAAAGTTTAACAGATCTTCAGCTATTTAAAATGATGGCATCAGTGAATAAATGAACTTATTGAGGTCAATCCTATGTCACAGAAATGACTAGCACTCAAATATTAACCCAGCTTTCTTCACATTTCAGTATTAACAGTTCCCAGCATACACATACATTTATAAATTGAGAAAACAATTTTGAAGGCTTTTAAAAACTATGGCTCCTTTAACCCACCATGGCTTTCAAAAATGAATTTAATGTTTACTTACCAGAACTTTCCACAATATCTACTCCATTAGTCGTTATAGGTGGCACACAGATATTTGTGATTTCCTGCAAATCATATTCAAAAAATAAAAGCACTTAAACTAGATTCAGAACTAGATTCAGAGCAATGTAGATGAGCTGTGGCCCATTTGCAAATAATAACATTACAGTAAGCCCAAATTCTTGCAAGAGTCACTCTTCTTAAGATTTGAATCTTAAGTTTAATTAAGTTAAAACCTGAAAAGGTCACATCCACTACTGCATTGAAGCACTCAACTGGAAGTCACTAAGTCATTTTTTATACTCCTGTCACCTGTCTCAACAGAAATACAATTTTTTTCTGTATATGATTGCAATAATATTTCACAAACATGACTCTCACCTTGTCCTCGGGTTGGGCTCCTTCAATTCCCCACTGGTGAATTGTTCCTTCTGAACCATCAGGAACTGGGATAAAACCACCTGCCATTCCCCCAGCGGGACCCCTTTGGCAGTCACAGGTGAGCAGTAGGAGAGGGACCACTAGCAGGAAATCAAGGCAAAGGTATCAGAAGATTTTTATCAGCTGGAAATCGTTCGACATGACAAAGGTCAGAGATATTACAAGGAACATTTACAATATTTGCAGAAAATTCCTAATGTAAAACAAAATTAATTTCTACATCCAGCATTGGCAATGTTGTATAATCTTTCTATCTCCAATGAACTCATCCATTAATTGGGAGAATGAATCATCACTTCATAGACCGTCATAGTATCAATAAATGAGCTAATTTAGGAAAAGGACAATAGTGAACACTACAAAGATTTACTAGTATTGTTAGGCTGAGCAACATTAGTTATATAAATCAGGTCAGTCCTGCATGTAGTATAAAAAGTTAGACCAACTGCACAATGTAAATTTGACATAATGAATGAAGAATCTCAAAACTTAGGGCTGGTGATATAACTCAGTGGTATAATCACCTGCCTGACAAGGCCAATGTCCTAAGTTTGATATCTGGTCTCCCCCGATGAAAAAAAAAATCTCAAAATTTAGTACAATGCTCCTATAAATGATACTTTATTGCCATGATCAATTCTGTGATTTTATTACATGAATGGGAAAGATTATTTGCAAGGGCAATGACTGGAAACCAGGATGGTCCATATTTTTAGGCAGGCATAATTTTCAAAAATCTTATCTATTATTGTAAGTACAAAAGACACAGGTATTGACTTGATATCAGAAAGCTTTTCAAAGTGTTGAGTGTATTTTTAGTCTGAAAAATGTATTTTGTATTGGTCACAAATTTCAAAACATGGAATTCTGCAAATGGTAAGGTCACATGAAGAAAATGTTATCGTGGAATCACCCAGTGTATTTCCTGTGGCTGCCATTTGGAGTCACACTGCAATGGTCTATGGGACACACCATGCACTTCACGGCTAAACATCTCAAAATCAGACTCATTATTGCTGCTTTATATGTCTGTGCCTTGTCTAGTTTCAGTTTCAGTTCAGAGTTTCAGCAACCACTGGCTCTCAAACATGACTCCTGGGTATAATCTGGGCTTATTACCCAATCTTCCTACGGATGACCGTCTTAGTCTATTCAAGTTCCTATAATAAAAATGTCTTCGTGTGGATAATTTATACATAACGTATTTGTTGTTTACAGCTCTAGAAATCAAAATGCCATTGTATCTGGTGCCTGCTCACGTGAGGGTCATTCCTCATACAAGGAACCTTTTATGTGCCTTCGCATTGGCAAAGGGGGCACCCTCCCTCAGACATCTTCATAAGCATGGATCGCATTCAAAGTGGTACCTCAGGACTCAGTCACCTCCCAGAGCACTTCTCTTTGATACCATTGCAGTGGTGATTAGGTTTCATCATGTAGTTTGGGGGGACCACGTTCGAACCATGGCACTTGGTCCCCCAGTCTTGTTGAAGTGCAATGGTAGTGTTCTACATACTTAGTCTTCCTAATCTTTTAAACCTCTAAACAAGGTCTCTGCCATCTCTTCTTAACTAGTCCAATGACCTCCCCAGTGTTCACCCCTTTGCAGTTTACAGCCTGTGCTGCGGCCAGAGTTATCTTTCTAAAATACAAAGTGTTTTATACTTATAGATCATGATAGTTATTTTATGCAAATGGATTTATCAATTCTCCCTTTTCACAGTTTAGAGTACAGGCACTATGGTGTGTGTGGAAGCCCTCCCAAATCAGTTCCAAAGAGAGAAATATGGCGTGTGTGTGGGAAGCTATAGCAATAACAATTTATTTCTCTGTTTAAAAGAGCAATTTAAGAAAATATAGCAAAACATTAATATCTGTTGAGTCTGAGTGGTGGTTATGCATACGCTTGTAATACAATTTTGTATGCTTTTTGGTGATTTTAAAATAGTTTATAAATTTGAAAGAAATTGAAAGGAATTGTAATAGGATGTATCATTATAGAAATTTGTTTTAATGTTAAAAGTCTGTATCTATAATTTGGGGCAGTAATTGTGAACTTGTCAAGGATTTTTCTTTTTTTTGGTACTGGGGATAGAACTCATGACCTTGTGCTTGCCAGGCAGGCACTTAGGCCACTGAACTAAATCCCTGGCAAGGATTTTTGTTTATATAAGAATTTGTCACTTAAGTTTTTCTACTAAATAGGGGACTTATATATTTAATATATTATTTAATTCATAGGATTTTTATTCAAATGAAATTTTCCAGAAATCAGTCTTTTGAATAAAATGAATTTTATTGAAAAAGGATACATGTGTGTAGCTCTCCTTCATGTGTGCAGTAAGAACTCTTAAGTGTGAAAGTCTGAGAAGGAATGGGTATAAAGGATCTTTTTTGAGGAAATGCTAGAGGATAAAATAACTTCCAGGAGCCTAAGTTCTAATGATGCGCACTATAAGCCTAAAGCCTGTGATATTTTATCTTATCTCCTCTGACTTTATTTGACCATGACTCTTTATTTTATAATCTCATGAGACTGGAATATGGAGAAGACCTCTTAGTACCTCACATGGACTGAGGGTGTGGCTCAGTGGTAGAACACTGGCCAGCGTGTGCAAGGCCCTGGGCTTGATTCCCAGCACTGAAAAATTAAAATGCAAGTGCCACACTGGTGATAAAGCCATCATTTTGACCATGAACATTACTGGCAGTATGTGAAAAGCCCTCACAATTTCTTTTGCTCTGTCTTGATCCACTTGTACTGTTCTTAAATATCTGCATAAAGGATTGGCTTTGCTACATTCATATAGTTTAGTAGCAAGTGACAAACAAATTCAACATTTCACATTCCTTCTGAAAAATGCTATTTCCCCCTAGCGCTGCCTACACAGAACCTTCAGGCAGTGGCTCCTCCTGCACTGCGCAGATGAGCACAGGTAGTGTAAAGGCCACTGTGATGGTGCCACGCTGCAGACACGGGGTGACAGGCTGGCATACTCACAAAGCAGCAGCAAGAGCCCAAGGAGGAGCAGGCCGATGGCACTGGGCCCCATCCTGTAGATCTGCTTCCGAGGCTCTATTTGAGGTTCCTCCCACGAAGCTCTACAGGAGCCCCTTTCGTCACACTGACAGACTGTCAGGGTCAGCGTCTCCGATGACTCACACCGCCTGTCCTGGTCACCCGTGACGACGATGGGGACTCTGTACACGCCAGGAGATATCTGCTGCTGAGCTCTTACCATGGCCGAAGTAGCTGTAGAGAAAAATCACACAAATCAACATAAGGACAAGTCTGCTCTAAAACTATTTTTGACAACAAAGCTAGAAAGGCCTTAAAGATCACTGTCAAAAACAGCAGGACCGATATGGCTTGAGCAGTGACGATGGCTATAAGAGGTTCATTTCGGTCAATCTGTCTGCACCCTCCTTGTCTTCTCTGACACAGATAAGCCCCCCACCCCATTCACTGTCAGGAAGACTCAAGTCCCTCCTAAGAGGATGAGAGGTGGATATCATGGAGATACCAGGACTCGCTGTCCTGGGCTTTGCTTCTCTCCTGGGTATCTGAGTCAACTTCAAGATGCATGTGTCCCTCTGAGGGTTCGGTTCCCTGGGATTCCGTGTTCCTGAGTCTGATTTAATGAGGCAGAGTTTCAGCTGTGGCTGCCGTGATCTCAGCAGCTCCTCTTGGTTCCCATGAGCTGAAGGCTCTCAGGTGAGGTTCCCAGTGGCGTGGCCTGTTCCCTTTCTGACTCCTCAGCATCAGGTGTCTCTGACTCTCCATTGCTGTGTTGCCCCTTTCTAAGACAGATCCTACACAGTGTTATGTTTTTGAATGATTCATGACCCCGTGATACCCCTTGGCACTGCCTTGTCCCCCCCCCAGACCAAACTCTGTGTGACCAGGGACAATTTCATGCTGGCCCTTTCTGATCTTTGTTTAGCACCCCCTGAATTGGCCATGCATCTGGTAAATTCCTCAGGAGTCAAACGCTACATGTACAGTATGGAGTTAGTTCCTTAAACCAGGGTTAGAAGAGACCAAGGGCAGGAGGCCCAGGGGGACAAAATCTCTGGTGACTCTGACAATGACCAATACCCATGATTGGCAGGCTCCATGGAGCACATCTGTGAGAGTAAGCAAGACAGGTGCAGGAAAGAGCTGCGGGAAGTGAATGAGTTTACAAAGGATTTGAAATAGTCCGATGGTCACTGTAAACCCAGGAAGGAAGAAGACTTACTGAGTCTGACTTCAATTTCTATGAGACTTCTAGAAACCACAAAAGATGTAAAATGGGCATGATAAGGGCTAGGGGAAAAGCGTTAGATTTCTCCCATTGGCTAATGGGGCTAGAAAATTCCAGTCCGCCATACCATCAGATTTTTGACCAGCGAAACAGGTGTCCCCTTCTATGACATTGGAGCCACCCTGCTTCTCCAGGGCTTAGTGCTGCTCACAGCTTGCCTTGTGAGGAAAACCTTATGTACCTTTAGAAATCTAGGCAGCCCTCTGATAAATAGATGCCTCACTTTAATCTTGTCTCTACTGGGGAGGTAGAAATAAGCATACTAAAAATGCAAAAATTATTGAATGAAAATCAGAAAACATTCAATGGTTCTAACATCCTATATTGTCACTCCTTTTCTAAAAAGAAGATGAGGAGTGCATCTTTATTCCAAAGAATTTTTCAACTGTTCTTGGAAAGGACCCACTCTCAAATGAATTTTCATTCTTCTGGAAATGTGCAGAAGTGGCGACTTTCATGCATGGAAGCTCCTACTCACCGTTGAGGCTCGTGATTCTCCATATAACCGGCAACTTTAGAGGCTGCTCCTCCACTGAAAACGTGTAGGGACCAGCATACCTGTCCCTTTCCAGGGTTCTAGCTGACACAACCACGGAGGGTGACGAACTACAGATTTCATTTTTTTCCAGGACAATTGGTGGACAGTTTTCATTAAACTCAGGTATTTTAACATAGACGGTGCCAGTGGCAGTTTTGCCTGTGCTTTCTGTAAGAATAACATTTTAGAGTTTAAAAAGTATGTAGAATAAAGTTATAATGACAGCAACACTGAAAAGGATATTTTAAATTTCTCTTTCTTGCAACCAAGTTCATGTGTCCTTTTAAGAGAAATTTTTTATTACTAAAGATACCTCCTAATTTAATATGCTTGAAATCAATACTTGTAAGGCAGTAAGTTCACAGGTTACAAATGGAATCAACACAAACCCATAATGGCTTTTTAAACAGTATTAATTTCATTTGTAATCAGTATGTGATACATTTTTGATTCTAAAGCTTGAGTCAAAGTATTTGGGATAAATAGTTTTCTAATTTATTTTTAATACCTAACACAAAAGTTAGGGAAAAGTTAAAATGCTGACAATCAAAAACAATAAAATAAAAATCTCTTGTTGGTGATATTATGAGTTATTTCTTTGTTACATTTAGGGCTTTCTGTAGTTTTCTTAACTGGGAATATTTTTGGTTTATAGTTTTGATTCTTCTTTAGTGTTTGTTTATTGCATTAAGCATAAATTAATCTAATACCTAGGGAAATATACATACTCAGTAAATTATATTTTAAAACATTCTAGATAAGGAAAATCTATTGTTCAAGATATATGTATAGAAAGTCTTTATAGGTAGTTCATGAAGACATTTCACATTTGAGTTGAACTTCCCTGAGATGCTTTCTCTGGTACTGAACTACATCCCCAGAACCCCTTATTTATTTATTTTTTATTTTGAGACAAACTCTTGCTAAATTGTCCAGCTAGGACTTGACCTTGTGATCTTCCTGCTTCAGCCTTTCACAGTGCACAGGGTTCCGTAGGAATCCACATTGGTCCTCTCAAATCCAGAAATGTCTGAGGGTCAAAAAACCTTCCCTGGCTCACAATAAACAATAGGGACAAGTGAAATAATCATAATCCTCTACTTATGAAGCACTGCTAGTGGAAGTAACACTTCTTTAAAGGCCATCAAAATAGTTTTCTTACCATCTATGGCCAGAACCTCAGCTGTGAGTGTCTTGTTAACTATGAAGGTAGAATCCCGGGCGATGTTTTTGACAAATTTGATTTGACCAGTTTTTGGATCAATAGTTAGCAAACCACCATCATTACGGCCCATGACATATCTGTTTCATAACAGAAAAAAATAATAGTCTTCTTTCAAGTGTAGCATGAATATGAAATGACTCATTTCATGTTTAATATATTTATACTTAAAATAAGACCTTAAAATAAGAGCTTGTAAAAGATGTTGGAAAAGTACCGTGAAATGAATGAGCCATTTCATTATTTTTAAATATGTATTATCCTAATTATTTGATCTTCCTCTCTAGAAAAAAAGTAAAACATTTGTGTCCTTGCTCTTTATAACATAGCTACTAATTTTCATGGTGCTCTTACATTTTAGGTATCTACCTATCACTATCTCTCTCTCTCTCTCTCTCTCTCTCTCTATCTATCTATCTATCTATCTTGTCTGTGTGTCTATCTGTCATCTTTCTATATTCCTTAGATTCATGTGTAATATAATGTTTCATCTCATGGAAACATGGCCTTCTGATAAACTTCTAATTTTTGTAAGACTCAGTTGGAGGTTTCTAAAAGATGTTTCGTGATCATGCCTGACAACAAAAGGCATTATTTATTCATTTATTTGTTGGTACTAGGAATTGAACTCACAACTTTGCACTTACCAAGCAAGAGCCTGAGCCATTGAGCTAAATCCTGGGCCCAAAGGCATTTATTTTAGTTTCCATTTTAACTTATATTAACTTTCTTCAAAGCATAACGTATTCTAATGATTTATCCACATTTCTGTTTTTGAGTTATTCATTACTTTATCTTCATGATATTTATTTCTCTATTGTTGGCATACAATTGTCTAGGCATTGTGTTGTAATGAATTATAGATCAAAACTAAGCCAAGGAATAATCAAATGTCATAACAACAGTCATACCTGACAGCTGAGGAAGTTTTGCCGGTGTCTTCATCGATGGCTTCATACGTTCCCAGGACATAATTAATCAATTTTTTAGTACTTATACCTTTTTGCACAGTAAAAGTCTTGGAAATAGGACGAAATGAAATTCCTTCTCTTACATTGATTATCTCAATTATGACCGGGATTGACTGAACTTGAAATTGAGAGGCTACTGACTGGTGAAATTCAGCTTTATTTTTGACAGTAATACTAAATTGCATGCTTTGTATTTGTTCATAATCTAGAGGCTGGAGGAAAAAGTAAAAGAAAGGAAGTGTCACAAAAATACAATCTGGCTATCCTAGTAGAAAAGTCTAGTCAAGGTATAGCAGATGGGTCCTTTTATTTCTGTACAGCAAAACACTTTTAGAAATCACAATAAAGACAGAGAAAGGGTAAAGCTTCTTAACTTGTGAGATCCCATTTTGGTAACTGAAGTTTTCAGTCTCTTTAGGCTGCAGGGGTCAGGGGAAAGAATCCAGAATTTGTCATGATAACGTGATTTGAATCTTGTTTCTGCTACCTTTTAAGAGATTTGTGGGGCTGGGGATTTAGCTCAGCGGCATAAGGGCCTGCCTGGCAAGAGTAAGGTCCTGAGTTCGATCCCCAATACCCCCCAAAAAAGAAAAAAAAAATTTGTGACTTAGGGCATGGTGTTCAATTTCTCTGATTCTCATCAGGATGTTATGGGGACAGAATGCATTAAGGCCCACAAAACATTTGTATAAGTGGAAGCTGTGGACAGTCACAGAATCCTCATGGAATCTGTGTGCAGATGTGTTTCCTGACTACAAGTTCCTAGGTGTGAAGGAAACTTAATAGCCTGGGTTGTCACCAAGGCCTCTGTACCACGGTGAGTGGATGCTCCCCATCAACCCTTCACACAACTCTTTTCAGAAGGCCTTGCAGGATAAATACTTTTAGCTTTCTTAGAAACAAGACCCAACACAAGGCCTGAGAAAGCCCAAAGTAACCTTTTTCATTCAGTACTCTCCCCCCCTCCCCCCACCAAATAAGGAATGCTAATTTTGGTTACATTTGCTTATCACTAAAAATAAAATTGAAGCACGAGGCACGGACTTGAGTTTTAACTTTGCAGTAACTGGCACTGTGTGCTGAGCATTTCCTGGGGGCAAGAATGATGCATAAACTGTATAATTATATTACAGCACAAAAGAGAAGGTGGGGCATATGGAGCTTTTGTCTGAATGAGAGGGATGGAGGGACAATTTTACAGCCAGAGAGGGTTCTAAAGAGAAGAATAAGTGGTACAAATCATTTCTTTAAAAAAAAACGTAGTGGTCTGGTGGCAGCGTGAAGAATGAGATCAAGTAGAGATGAGAGATAGGGACATCCACGCAGAGGTATTGCAGTTGTCTAGGACAGAGGAGCAAGGCTGGACTAGAGGACAGGTGGCTAGAGGTAGAGGAGGGCCAAGGGGAGCACCAAGGGGAGCTTATAGGCAGGACTTGGTGGCTGGCTGTGTGTTGTGAGGCAGCGTCATGACCAAAAGATAACATCCAGACAGTGGGACATTGGAGACCCCAGTACACGAGACAGGGACTGTCTCATTTCCAAGCATTGCTGGAATTTAGAGCAAAACTTTTCCAAGTGGGGATGGTGGTAATATTCTCTGTAAAAAGCGGAATAAAAAGAAATCCTTTGTATGGCTGTTAGCAGCTCCCAGTACATGGTTAAAGAAGTTCCCATATGGCTGAAAGTTCTTGTCAAGGAATGTCACCAGATAGTGCTTATTCTTTCCAGTCTGTGTAGTATCCAGGCAGAAACACCTTTGCATTATTTTGGACAGGGAGTCTGTCATGGTGAAACTTGCTGAAGGAAAGCTTTATTTTTTGTCTTGCAGAATTTGCTCATACAGTCCCAATTTCTAAGGGAAGCTGTGTTTTTTCTACTGATGACTATAGCTAACTCACCTAAAACAGGTTACAAGTTCATAAGCCATAATTCTATGCATTCTCTCTCCTAGCTTCAATCCAAATGCAGGCAGTGAATTTGACTAGGTCAGGCATATGTTTTGCTCTCTTGTGAAGAAAGCATGCACATAAACACATGTGTTAGTGTGTGTGTGACTACTGACAGCACGTTAGCTTGGAAAGGGAAGAACTAACATGCTAAGAGGGTCTTTAGGTAATGGGCTGCAGGATAACTGTAAAAATTCTATGTATTTTTATATATTTATATGATGAAACAGTGTTATTACTGATAAGGTTTATTTGTAAAAATGATAGTGTGGGTTAAAATAGTCCGTTTTTAAGGAGGAAACTCAAACCTTACCTTAACCACCTTTAGGATCCCTTCATTGGTTCTTGGGTCCGTTTCTATTTCAAACCACTTCCCTTGATTTCCAGAGATAATGTAATACACAGCCAGCCAATTATCTGTGTACTCTTCATCCCAATCTGTCACTTGAAATCGAAGTAAGTCAGAATTTATAGTGTTTTCCTCAATACGTGCTGAATACTAAAGAGGAAAAAAGCCAAATTTAAGATTCAAAGCAAGGTTTACCTAAGCAGATTGTTTTTTAAAAAATGGTATTATTATTACTTCTCAAATTATGTAATCATCTTATGGGTATCTGGATTTTGTTGCTTTCTTTCTCCTTCTCCTCTCTCTCTCTCTCTCCCACTCCCTCCTTCTCGTTCTTTTTTTTCCCCCCTTTGGTACCAGGGATTGAATTCACAACCTTACGCTTGCCAGGCAGGCACTTACGCCACTGTGCTAAATCCCCAGCATTCCCTCTCATTCTTTTTTACCCTTTCTTTATTTTGAGACACTATGATGCCCAGACTGGAACTCATTATGTTGCCCAGGCTGGCATCAAATTCACAGTCCTCTTGCCTCAATCTCCTGAGTGACTCCTGGGACTACACGGAGCTGCTGAATTCTTATATTTTAGAAAAGCCTATTTTTTACAAGAGAAGTGCAGAAAAACATAGAAACCAATAAGTAAGCAACTACTGAATTTAGCAATATATGTATATAAATAAAGACTTTTCCCAAGGAACACTGGGTTACCTGAGCATATTTAAGCACTGGGAAATTATCATTGACATCCTTCACTTTAATTTCGCATTCACATTGAGTTGATAGTCCTACTCCATCTTGGTCTGTGCCACTCACAACCAAACGATAGCTGCTAACTTGCTAAATATGGAAAGAAAAATCATTATTAATCTTCCAACATATAAATGGCCTTTCCTTGATTTCCAGAGGTAATGCAGTGTAAATATTGAACTTCATGGTTTATGGATTACACATGCTGTTAGCTGTCCACAATGGAGGCGGTTTGTGTGGCTCTGAATGATTGGGTGGAAATCTTGAAGGGGCTATAACATGTTTTTGTCTTTTGTAAGTGTCTGAAGGCAAGGCTGTACCCTTAGGGCAAAAATGGGCAATGAGTGTGGTGAGGTGATCGTCTGAGGGGGGCTTGCTTGTGCACCATCCTGCTAGCCCACTGGTAACATCACTTGTACAAAAACAATGTGGAGTTTGACAAGATGCAGTCTTGGAAGAGACTGATGGTTGTGAAAGTGACTGGGAGAAGAGAGGAAAATTTTCTGGCGCTCTGAAAACAGGGGTAAAGTTAAAAGGAAAAGCCTAAATAAAAAATATGACATCAGAGAAGGCTTTACTCCAACTAGGAACTTCTCCCTTCATCTCTCAATTTCTCTTTTCCTTCATCATCTGAGAATCAGTCCCAGTGCAGTCTTTGTCCTGCACGCTGGTGCCTTCTCTTGCTCTCACACTTTAACTTCCACTGATATGTGTTGGGTACGCTGGACGTACAACTCCAGGTGTACATCCCACCCCCCAGAATCACACTAAAGAAGGTACACGATGTGTCTAGATTGACCTAGGGAATTACTAGCAGCCTTTTTCTTTCTTGTTTAATTCCCACATGAAAGAGAATCATCTGCCTCCAGTTTCTTACAATGAAACCCTTTATTTTTGAATTCCCTAAGTGATTTGCTTTACCTCTCTATCAAGAGCATTGGTCAAAGTGCGGACTTCTCCAGTGTTTCTGCTTATGAGGAACATGGGTGTTCCTGCAGGTTCCTGGGAGATGATTTTGAAGGCAATTTTAGAGTTCAGATGGTTTGGTTCATCTGCATCTGTGGCATTTAGTATCATTACCAGTGAGTCTAGGAAAACAGGAAAATGTTCATTAAAGTATATGTAAAGATCAACGTTATGCTCACCTTAAATATTTACTGCAATCTCATACCGATTTTCTATATCTTAAAGCTACCTCTATGCGCAAAAATTTACATGTCAGTTGTGATATCTGTTTCTGTGTCTCTCAACCATGTAGAACTGTGCCACTTCACACAAATATCTTCCAGTTCTCTTCAAGCCTTGGCTGATAGAGGCTGAGGGTACTTTCTCTCTTTGTGATTTCCCTTGATAGGTGGCCTTATGATTCTCCCCCTTTCCCCAAACAATTCAAGTAATGTATGTCTCTGTCCTTTAAATCTAAAATGCCTCAATTTGTACATCCAGGCTAAGGTGCCTGTTCAGCTTTGTGATTACCTGATGCTCATATAGCTTATAGATATAGAAATAGATATTATCAACCTCATAGTACAACTATCATCTAGAAATACAGTGGTGGTGAATTATTAACTGCAAGTTTAAGAAAGAATATTATTATTATTATTATTATTATTATTATTATTATTTTGGTAATGGGAATCTAACTCAGGACCTTGTGCTTGTCAGGCAGGTGCTGTGATGTTGAGCTATTTCCCCAGCTACCATACTATTTTTGATGAATTTGTTTTTGCAAAACAATGAAGAGATTAATGGAATGAGTTTGTAAAAGTGATAAACTATAGTGATCCATAATTGAAAAATAGATGAACTGAAAGTGGCAGGGGCTGTAAGACTTACTTGAATTACTGTTTTCTTCAATTTCTCCCTTGAATATTGTTTGTGAAAATACTGGAGCATTATCATTCACATCCAGAATTTTGACTGTTAATATAAGTGGCTTCTCTACATCTTGGCCTAGGACATTTAGAGCCCGACACGTGATCTAGGAACAGAAGGAAGGTGAATTACTACTCTACTGAGTTAAACTGAGTATTATTAAGACTCATAGAAGCAAGGCCTCTGCTGGTATGGACGGAACTTTTGTGTAAATAAGACACACCTTCCTGGAAAGGGCGAAGACAATGGAAAACCTCACCCAGCTCTTGCCATTGGGCAAATTGCCCCTGCCTCCGGACTGCTGTGTCTCGTGTCAGGATGAGGCTCTTGGGAAGTGGTGTGCTGGATTTTGGCCCTTGTGCTTTACCGTCAGGTAATCAACCACCCGGGTGGAGACTCTTTGTAGGACTCATGTTATTATTTGTTGGTGGATAAATGCATGTACTCATCTCTCTTCTACATTTAGCCAATTAGAGTCATTTTGTAAAAAAAAAAAAAAAAAATTAGCCCATTATCCCTCAGACAAAGGATTTCTATCTAGAACACATAAAGAACTGGAAAAAAATTAGATCCCTCCAAATTCAAGGGCCCAAACCAAAAATAGGTATCTGAGATGAATACACAGTTCTCAGTGAAGAAATATAAACAGCAAATAAATGTATGAAAAATGTTCAACATCATTTGTCATTCAAGAAATGCAAACTAAAACAACAGTGAGATTCCATCTTATCCCCAAAAGAATGACTATCATCAAGAAATCAACCAATAACAAATGCTGACAGGACTGTGGGGAAATAGGAACCCTTCTCCATCATTGCTGTGAGTGCAGACTGATGCAACCACTGTGGAAATCAGTATAGAAATTCCTCAAAAAGTCAGGATTAAAGATCCCATTTGACCTAGCTATCCCCCTCCTGGATATCTTCCCCAATAAATTAAAAACATCATACCACAGCAATATATGTGTACCCATGTTTATAGCAGCACCATTTGTAATTGCTAGATCTTGGAAACAACCCAAACACTCATCAACTGAGGAATGGATAAAAAAAGATGTGGCATTTTTACACAATGGAATACTACTCAGCCACAAGAAGGATAAACTCAAGACTTTTATAGGTAAATGTATGCAATTTGACCATACTTATAAGTGAAATAAATCAGACTCACATGTGTAAATACAGTATTATTTTTCTGGTGCAAGGAATTGAAAGAGCAAATAAGGTTTAGAATTCATTATAGATAATGTGAAATGAGAAGTAATTATTTAAAAGGAAAAAGGATCTAGGGTGGAGGAAAGGAAAACAGCAAGAAGGGAAAAGGAAGAAAAATGCCATTGGCTATATTGTTAGTGTCTCTTAGTTCATTGAAAAGGAGGGTCCATGATAACATCAACTGAAGAATTTTTTATGCCCATATCTTGTTCTCTGAGTAACTACTTTGAAGATGACAAGATGCAATGTGTTAACTATTGTTGTTTTCCTATTATTTTCATATAAAATCCTGTTTTGCCATTTTTCAATAAAATAAAAAATTAATAAAAAAAAGAGTCGCTTTCTACAGCCATGGAATATGATACGAGGTGAAGGGCATCTGATGTGGCGCACACAGACTTACCAGGAAGCTTGGGGTTTCCTCTCGATCAACGATGGCTGTTATATTAATGTCACCAGTGTTTGGGTCAACAATGAAGATTCCAAAAGGGGGCTGATCGATTCCCACTCCAGAAATTTTGTAGGTAATTTTCTGGGTTGTCTGGAAATCTGAAGTAATCTGCAACCAAAGATTCCAAAGTGTTAAGGTGACAGTCATTCAGGTCTTTTCTTTCTGCATCTTCTGCAGTCACCGTAGTCTAAAGTCGCTTGTTCAACTGATCTCCTTTCTGATACTGTAGTCTTTAGCTTTTGCTTTATTAGATGGTAGGGAGGCAAAATAAATTCTGGGTTTTGGCTTTGTTGATAATTAATGACCAGTATGTGTTAATTATTTGAGCTTTAGAATGTTTTCTCCAAATGTGAGCACTATCGTGATGTTAGCATGTTGCGAGGTGGGCTGGGGCATTGCTCAAGGGGTACTGTACTTGTCTACCATGTGCAAGTCCTGGATTCTACGCCAAGCACCACAAAGACAAAATTTGTTAGGAACCTCAAGGGCACTTGATATTGACATTGTTACTTGTGAATTCTCAATCCCTACCTGACAACATTAAAATAAAAGGATACTTAAGTTTAAAGAAGAGGAAATGGAGGAGGAAGAGGAACACAACTATATAGTATGTGTCAAAATAGCTAATAAGATGAATTGCTTTTCATTATTAAGATGTTAAGCCTTTTACAAGGGTGATTTAAAATGTGTACGCTGAATTAGAATAGTATACTAAGCCTGATGCATCTCATCGCTCAGTTTCAACAGTCATTCATACATCAATCCAATGATTGTTCCCAACTCTTCCTCTTATTATTTCATCATGCTATAATTTATCTTACAGTTGTTAGAATCTGGATTCAAGTAGGCTTATACATTAAAATTGGTCAACAATGCCTCTTAATTTTATTTTATGGCCCTAGGAATTATAGTTCTCCCACCTTTTTCCGTTACTTATATTATTATTTGACTTTTTGTTAAGAGATAGTAGTTCAATTCCCTGTCTGTATTTTGTTCATTGGAATTACCATATTATTGTAATTTATATATGACTTGTTTATTCTAAAAACCACCCTGGCCCTGCTAATATGATTTACCTTGGCAATGGGGTTTTTTTTGGAGTTGTCTTCTCTTTCTCTGCAGGGTGTTGCAAATTTCACCCATTCACGTTTGTACCTCCGTTTGCCCTGTTGAACTGCTGTGTCGTCTTCTCCATGTGGCTCTTTTGTCTGGTGTAAAAAAAAGCTCCATTTTGTTACTCACGCTGTGGCAATTTTTGCTTTGAATATTGGTTATGGACACCTAAGTTGAGGAACTTCCTGTGTTTCAAGGAACCTGACACTGTTAGATGTTCAACTTACCCTGACACTTCGTCTAGAAAGAAGCTGAGACTTTTAAAAAGCTACATGATTTCTAACATTAGGTATTAATCATACTTCATATATGTTTTACATACTGTACAATAACTAACTGTTCTAGACATATAGAATGTGACCTGCTGATTTGTTCAAAGAAAAAGAATGCATGAGATAAAGTATACTACCAACATGTGCAAATGACTCTTTTTTCTAAATATGTATGGATTAGTTGCTATAATTTTAGCTTCATATGTTTTTACAATTATCAAATAACTTTAAACATTAGCTATTCTTCTGAAATACAATTTTAATTTTAAAACATCCTTCGTTTTAATCACAAACAATGTTCTCATACTTTACCTCTATCCACAATTCTCCATGAACCAACACGAACATCTGTAGGAATTTAAAGAGAGTCGAGTTACATGTGCGTTCTTCAGATAAGTAATTACAAAGTTAATAATCCTGATTGTTATAGTCTATGGTTCATCTTATAGTTTGTTTCTATTTCTGAAGAATCCAGTTTAGAAGAGCAGTATTCAGAGAAAAAAACATCTACCAGAAAGACGAATATTGCTCTCAATATAGACAAGTAATTCCAGTTTTTAATCTGACAGTAGAATTTTAGTGACATAACAAAGGACCTACTAGGATTTGTATGACTATGTCTAGCTGCCGATTGTAGCAAAGAAACATTTTTTATGTGGTTGTTCTATAAACGGCTCCCAGAAGCTATAGCTTGGAGAAGCAAGGGTCAGTGCAACAAACTTCGTTGGATCTTCCTAAAAACCAGCACCTATGCACCCGATTTTACCAAGGCAAGCCTAGATCAGCTACAGTTACAGGAGGTTTTCTCTAGTCTTAGAAAAGTGGAGAGGACAGAATGGAGCTAGTCTGGCTTGACTGGAACTTTTTATAAAAGATGGGAAGATACCATTCCAATCACAAGTACTGCTTGCGGTGGAATATGGATCTCTTCATCTCTTTCTTATATTTCAGCTTAAATGTTGAGTTTAATTTTCACACTACTGGTTCGAAAAAATGAAGTCAGACAGATTAGGAACTTTGCTTTCTTAAGAGGATACAGGACGTTCATCTGTACCATTTCCAATTTGCTTTTCACCTGGAATATATTCTTCTTTTCTCTCTCTCCACTTCAATATTACTCATCCTTTTAGATTCTTTCATGTTCCAGCAAACTCCGCCGAACTATTGTTATTCATGCTTTCTTTTTTGAGTTTGTGTACCTCATACACTGAACTACGCAATTTAGCCCATGATGGCTTGCTGTGTTTATTATTTATTTTTTATTTTTGTTGTTTTGATACAGGGTTTCACTATATAATCCAGGCTGGGCTTAAGTTTATGGTCATCCTCCTGTTTCAACCTCCCTAGAACTGGGATTACAGGTGTGCAACGCCATGCCCATGGTTTATTATTGCTTATTGTTACTTGTGCATTGAAACATTTCTCTGCTAAACCAAGAGAATGGTAGATGTTCCAAATCAGTGCTTTTGTATTATTCTTGTCTTTTCCCTCAGCAGATATTTAACAACTATTTACTGATATGCCAAGTAAATCTGTTTTGAAGTAAATGTGGCAGGAAAATTATTATGGAAGCTAAACCAGAAGAAAAAAGTAGAAGAGTTATAATAGTAGCTAATGTTTGTTATGTGACGTTATTAGTTTTTATTTATAAAAATTTTGTACTTAACACTCACAGCAGCCATCTGAAGGAGGGTCTCTTGTTGTAATCCTAATTTTTTTAATGAGGAAATGGAAATATAAGATAATAAATACCATATTTGTCCTAGTAAATTATTCTGGAAAAACAAGAATTTGAACTTCAGCAACCTTGATTCCAGATAGTGTACATCACCGCTACACCAGATTCTAGCAGAAGTTGTCATAGATACATAAAAGACAAAAACAATTGAAGCAAAAGTCCCCAGCTTGTGGTGGGAGAAAGGTTATATGCAAGTCAGTCTAGACTTATGCCTGGCCAAAGGCTGAAGTTGCTCTTGAAACAATGAAGATTTATTATACTGTTTATTTTCAGAGATTTTAATGAATAGATGGGCCCAAGGCAGAACAGGAGTAATTATGTCAAACACAGGATGTCAGGACTCCTCCACTCTAAACGTTTCAGCTGAAAATCTGATTTCAAAGAGCGTATGTTCAAATGGTCATGAAAAAGAGCCATCGGAACATGATTCACAATGACTTTACAACACTTGTGCTCATTAGGCAATGCCACGAATTACTCGGGAGCAAAAACCAGAGTAGTGCAGTAATTGAACAGCTCCTTTCTTAGGTCATAAGAAGAAAGACTCAGCTGCATGTGAGGGGAGGGCTCGGCCAAGCCTGCGCCTCTTTACTGGAAAGCTGGAGTCATCTCGAAAATATGAATCATGTTTCTACTAGCCCCACAGAGAAGGTGCTTCTCACAGATATTAAGGTGTCATTTCTATCTTCCCGGGAAGCAGACAAAAGACAACCCTAAACTATGGAGAATTAATATTGCAGACAATTGTTTCTTGTTTTTGTATTTTTTCCATCTTTCCATAGAAATGAGAGGACTTATAGTAATTTGTTCATTCTAAATCATTACTCTTTCCTATCTTTTAAAGTCAGACCATGAAGCTGTTCCTTAATTTCAGGAAACATTGTATAAACATGTTTTTTTTTTCCCTTTAAGAACATAAGAGTAATTGGTGAGAGACACCAATGAAAGTTACAATGTTCTTTAGCTATTTAGAAATATAATCACACTTACATTGTTCAGAATGGTATTTTCTCAAAAATTTGTTTTTGCTAATGAATAATTTAATAATGGCTACTTAGCTTACTTAGTTTTCCAATGTAATTATTCTGATTATTTTAAAACATTTTTTGAGAAACAAAAATCACCTAAATTTATCATGTATAATACAGTGTTCCGAAATATATCCACATTGTGGAATGGCTACATTGAGCAAATAACTATGTGAACAGTTTCCTAACAATTTAAATACACTAAGTTGTCTCTTTCGGTCATCTGAATTGATAATACTAATGTTGAAAAGCATCTATATATCTTGAAAATTCCCAAACTTTTACTTCTTCTTGTTTCTTTTTTCTTTCTTTCTTTCTTTCTTTCTTTCTTTCTTTCTTTCTTTCTTTTTTTTTACAGTATCGGGGATCAAACTCACAACCTCGCGCTTGCCAGGCAGGTGCTTATGCCGCTGAGCTAAATCACCAGCCAGTATTTCTTCTTGTTTAAAACTTTGTAAATTTTAATGATATGATTTTTAAAATACTGATATGGGCTAAAGGCTTTGGTATAGATACCAATGAGAATATTAGATTAAGAAAAATCTAATTATTTGTTCTGATTATAAGAAAACAAAAAGATAGGTGGCTCTATGTCTCTATGCCCTCTTTGCTAATAAAAATGAATATAATTATATCATTAACATTCTTATTGAATAAAGTAGGTACTCAAAAAGTATAAATTTATTGTATTTATTTATTATAAAATTATATTTACTATAATATTTCTTCTAATATATTATATTATATAATAAAGCTGAATTTATTATATTGTATTGTATGAGTACATGTGTATGTACAGCACACGTTTACATTCCTTGTAGGAAATTGGTACATGTATATAACACATTTTAATTCCTTTTTCTAACCGCCTTTTCTCCCCTCTCTCCTCCAACAGGGGTAAACTTTCTAAAACCGTTTATAATAACACCTGTCATTCTTCTTAGCCAAAGTGTTGATTGGTTACCTCACACTTTTAGCATGGGAAGGGACTATCATTGGGCAGGTTCACTGGGCTACGCCAAGACTACTCTTTCTTCTCTAGAATGGGAATGAGAGTGGATAGGAAGTTGAATGTGCATTAATGTACCTACCCCAGTGAACATTATGCTTAGCCTAGCCTGCTTTAAACATGTTCACAACACATACATGAGCCTGGAGGTGGGGAAATCATCCAACACAAAGCTCATTTTGTGGTAGAATGTTGACTACCTCATGTAACCTATGGAATATTTCACTGCAAGTGAAAGACATACATGGTATGGACATGCTTTCTCACTTAAAAGTTATGAAGTTTTCTTTGTTGGTACTTTTAATTTGTTTTTTTGAGGCTGGGTCTCTATTTGTAATCCAGGTTGACCTCAAACTTGTCATTCTCCTGACCACTGGGATTGCAGGCATGTACTGGCAACACCTGGCAATTTTTGTGAAGTCAAGCCATCATAAATCAGGAATGTTTCACTGAATTTTTAAATTTAAGATTTCCAAAACATTCTAATTAACTTTGTATTCCTCAGTGTAAATTCTTTAATTGAATAACATGTTTAGCCACTTAGAAATTATTGAACTAGGGATTTAGCTCAGTGGGCAAACCTAAAGTCATGAGTTTGATTTCCAGTACAAAAAAATATTGAACTGCAAATCAATTTCCAGTAACTGATTTGTAAACTCAGTTTAGAAAGTACAACTTTGTATCATGATAAAAGATGCTAAGAAAAACAAATGCACATGGATATTATCAAACATTCCTTTAGAAATACTCTGTGTAGCATATAGTCACATTTGGTAATATAAAACTGGACACTCGGTCTTGAATTTGAATCTTAGAACAGCTATGCACAACTGTATAATTTGAGACTATTACTTAATTCTTACGTTTCTTCATCTGTCATATAGGAGTAAATAGTCCTACTTGCCTCAGGTTTGTTGTGAGGAAGAATGAATAACAGTAAACATATACATTAGTCCTAGGCCATAGTAAGTGTTTAATAATTTTTTTTGTACTGGGGATCAAATTCATGACCTTGCACATGCCAGGCAGGTGCTTGTACCACTGAGCTAAATCCCTGACCCAGTATTTAACAAATGTTAACCATTTCTGTCATCAAACCAAGAAAAAAGATAGCAAAAGGTATAAAAGAGCCACTTTGATTAATGCGAAGTGCTTCTTGTTGCTATTCACAATCAAGGTGCACCAGAATGGTTTCTTTCTTAAGCAAAGCAACACTGCTCCACTGTGTAAGTGTGTAGATTGGTTTGCACACAGCCTCAGAGGGCACTGTTCACACCATAGCCTGTATGAATGTACCTATTCAAGTTGTGCAACACACAGCCTGGCAGCTGTGAGCAGCTCCATAGGAAAATGTGTTTTATACAGATTCCACTATTCATCATATAATTATAGACAGTAACCAGTTGCCAGGTAATTACCTTGGGATGAGCTTCCCGAGCAAGCCCTCACCTTAGGCTACCAGATTGACTCCTTGCGGAAAAGGAGAGGCTGAAGGCTAAAACATCTACGAGACACCTCATGGACACTGAGTGTTCTGGTTCCAGATGAAACCGGTTTCATGTATCAAGCGAGTAGGAGTACTAATTGGGAGAAATAATTACATCTTTCCCAACTGCTGCCCAAGTCAGGCAGGGCTGAATAGAATCCCTTGGCAAAATTAATTCTGATTTATGAATCTTTACTTTGGGAGAGATTCAGTAGCAAATTCATCTTCATATATTTATGAGCAGTAGAAACAACTGTTTCACTGATTGAGGGAAGAAAGGATACCTCCTTTTGTTAAAAAGGGCCATTTAGCCTAAAATCATTTTCCTAAACATTTTTGGGATACTCTAAGAAAAACGTTTGAAGACAGTTTTACTATATTGAGAACACATCTAGTCTCAAGTTGATATTTAAATTTCTTTCCCCCTTATTATCCCTTGTCATCACCAACTCAACAATTATACTAAAATTTTTGTATTTCAAACATCTCCGTTAATTTCATGAGTAAAGGCTGGCATAATATAGTAACATGAAGTTTGTTCATTGTTCAGATGGTTATAGAAATGTTACTTGCCAAAATGATTTTGTGGTTTTGTGAACTGTAAAACACTGAACTGTGATTTCCCTTGAAGACTAATTTATTTCAAAAGATTAAGTCTCTAAAAGTAAGCATTTTTAACTGTAAAGCATTTGTATTTTGTATCACCTTAAAGTGCTTTTTCGTCACATGTGGCAGCTGTGTTTTTATTCTGACTGTCTTATGTGGGCAGGAACGGGATACGGTTATTTTTATTTGCCACTTGAGGCCACCAGGCCTGGAATGAGGTAAGCACACAGCTGTAAGTTCAGACCTGTGACTTTGCTGTTATAACTCGGCTTCCCAGGTACCCCTGAATGGTCTTGGAGTGGTAGAATTATTTCAAAACCTCCAGACAGGTTTATTCCAGCTTTCAAACCCCACCCTTCAACAACAAAAGGTGTACGTTCCCACCCAATGATGATTTTGAGAACCACACTATTTCAAAACTCTGGGTGGTTCCCCATTTCTAAAAGGATTCCATTTGCCTTCACAGAATGTACCTTTCAACCTCTCCCTTATCTGACTTTTCAGTTCACGTCCAGATTCAGCAATACGAACTTTGATTCCAGTCAAACCAGTGAGTCTGTTGCTCCTATGCAAAAGCTTTCACTGTACCGGTCCTCTGTTCATCTCAAAACTGAAGGTGCATCCTTTGGCCCATCTCTGCTTATCAAATCTCAAATCTCACGGGAGCCACAGAGTCATATTTACCTCCCTCACTCCTGACTAACAGAATTACTTGCAGACCATTACTGCCCAATAGGAATACAATCAGATCCAGAAATGCCAGCCACGTACATAATTTAAACACTCTGGGTTTTCACATTTAAAAAGTTAACTAGCAGTAAAATTGATTGAAACAATATATTTAATCTAATATCTCTGAATCCTATCATTTCAATATCGAATCAATATGACATTAATAATTTATTTTTCATTCCTTTGCTCATATTAAATTCTCAATGTGCAATGCACATTTTACACTTAACAGTGTGTCTCACCCTTAGACCATTTACACTGCAAGTGCTTAATGCTACCTGCGGGTGGTACCTGCCATATTGGATAGGCTAGGTCTACCCTATTCATTGGAATATTTTGTGTAAAGTTATCATATATGGTTGTTCAAATAGCCAGTGTGTGTGTGTGTGGGGGGGGGGGGTGTTTGTAAAATTTTTCTGAGTGGAGGAAAATGTCACATGGTATAGTTTCCCTCATAGTGAGGATTATGGGTGAACTAAATGGGATTTGATAGTTTATAAGGGCTCTCAATCACTTTTTCATTCTTCAAACAACTGTGTGTCCACTATAAGAAAATACTACAGATTAAAGAAAACTCCACCTTAACACAAAGACCTCACAGTTACTGTAGATAAAAGGGGTGACTGAGAATGGTTTGCAAGTTAAAACAGAGAAAAGGGCACCCTGAGTCATGATGGTTCAGTTCTGTGTCCTTATTACAATACTACTCTGGCTTCCCTGCATGAGTTTCCCCCAAGTTCCTGAGTTTACTCAGTGGTTTTGACCTATGGGTTATCTGCTACCTGCAGTTTAGTCTATAATTCTACCTTCTGGAAAGGTGGGAAAGTCATGCAGCTATCGTATTTTTCTATTTGGGGGTCAAATAAAATTACTGGGAAACCAAAATGGTCACGTTGTCTTAATATAAGCGGTGTTAAGAACAGATGATACTCATCTTAGGTCAGAGCATTTTTTTAATGTGAGAAAACTGGGAAATTTTACCACATAAGGTAGGTTATTATAGAATTTCAATTTTTAGAAAGCTTTTCTTTTTGTAACAATGGGCATTGAACTTCAGACCTAGTAAATTCTAGGCAAGTACTCTATCAACTGAACTACATTTTCAGTTCTAGAATGTTCTTTCTGGAGGTCTATCTCCCTGTCACTTCCAGAGGTCCATTTATCTCAATTTTTTTGAGATAATGAAACAACCTCACATCTAGGCCAACCAAGGTTAACATGACACCATGAGGATTAGCATTTGGAATTTTTAAAATATTTACCTGTGGTATTTAACTGTTTGGATATCTCCATGTAATGGGTAATATTGTGACATATTTTCTGTCACTGATAACGCCATAATTAAGGTATGAACTAGCTTGTAATACCTACATTAATGCTTTTCTTTTCAAATTCGACTTTTCTTTTACACAACATTGTTTACAATTTTGCCATCAATAGAAGTATGGAGCTTACAAAACAGAGTGCATCTTTTTCTTCCCAAAGGCTAGATGTGTTCTGTACGTAATGGCTAAATATAAAAATTGTTTTCTTAATCCTCTCAACTTCTCTGGAGTAAAATTCACTTTGATTTTAATTCAACAGTCTTTAACTATGTTAAAAACATGCCAAGCATCAAGATCAGGCATGCAGAGTTCCTAGCCATATACTTAATAAGAGACATGCGATCTTAGAAAACAGACGCATCTTTGCTCTCTTATTTGTTTCAGTTTTTATGTTAAGAAAACAAATAAAAGCATTAGTTTGAAGCAAATAAAGATATTGTGCAAATGTAATCTTCTAGGGACACTTAGTTCAGGAACTAAGGGAATACTAAATTTTTTCTTTAAAATCTATTTCTTGTTTGGTTTACTTTTCTTGGTAAAATACAGCATTTAAAAACCAGCAAGGAGGACATTGGAAACTCTCACAATTTTGTCTTTTGATGGCTTTAGAATTTATAACATGAATTCAGGAAACAGTTATGATGTTATCTAATAAGTTAAAAAAAGAGGGAGCGCTTGAAAGATTAGAAAAAGACAGGACTTACCATCAAAAGGGCCAGAGCCCCTGTGGCTCTGGGGAAGAGCCCAGCCATTGTCTCTGTTCTCTGGAGAACAAATCCAAGAGGTCCGCTGCGTGGCTGCCCTCCCAGCAGTCTGCAGAGGATGTGCAAAGGCTCTTTCCACAGCAGAGTCTCTGCTGCCTCTGCCAGAGTCCGCAGGTAGCCTGTTAGGCGGCTCCTCCCCAACCTCACCAAGGATTGGTCTCATCAGAAACACTTGCATCATTCTTTCTTCCAGGTAAAAACTTAGACACACCTCAGTTCCTACAGCAATGAAATCCTTTGTTGTAAGCTGAAAGAGCAGTTCTCAGGCTAAAGACAAAGTTGAATAGGAAGATCCCAGATGAATAATAAACTAATCACGCTGTGTAAGTGCAAAGCTAGCCCTAGTCACACAGAAAAGGAATTTAGTTGGCTCTACATGGTAAGTTACAACGAAAACTGAAAAGCACAATTAAGCATATAAAAATCCCCCAAAGTCCACTTGTGGAAGAGCATTTATTTTCAGCCTGAGTCTGTGTGGTAGAGTTAAAGTTAAATGAGTTAAGTACTTATGTATTTTGTTGAAAGCAATTACCAAGATAAAGATCACTTTGAGAAAATATTAATGCAGATTTTAAATAAAAAGAATTAGAAATAAAATTGGAGTGAACAGATCTACAGTGCTTTGGATATTTGAAATACATAGTGTATTGAAAAATCAGATTTTCAATATTATGTAAATGACATCTTTTGTATTGTACTTACTTTCAGCTATAAGTTTAAAAAGAATAGATGAGCGGTGCAACCCTGTAATCCCAGCACTCAGGAGGCTGAGGCATGAGGATCGTTTCGAGTTTGAGACCAGACTGGATTTCAAAGCTGGCATGAACTGTAGAGCAAGACCGTGTCTCAAAAAGGCCAAAAATAAATAAATAAATAAATAAAAATAAAAAATAAAATAAATAAAAAGAGTAGGCTGACAGGCAAAGTAGATTGCCTTTGTGCTTCCTTAACTACCCCAAGTCTTCTCCAAAGCAGTCACCCTGCCTACTGCAAGTTCCTTATCATTTGGCCTCTATCTCATATTAGAGGAGGGGAAAAAACTACCAACACAATTTTAATTTGTTTGCTTTTTAATCTTACAGTTAGAAGTATTTTTACAAGTTCCAGAATATCCCAAAAAGGTTTGGTAGAAGGGTAATATTATCTTTGAAAGTGTTTATGGATCAGGTATTAGAAGCTTTTTGGTTTGGAGGAATCCATTCAATCACAGTATTTAGGCAGAAAAGATTGCATGCAACAGCTCAGAAGTCGTAAAAAATATCTTGTAGGCAGAATTCTGTTTTTATTTTTATTTATTTATTTTGTTTGGTACCAGGGATTGAACTCATGACCTAGCACTTGCCAGGCAGGCATTTACACCACTGAGCTAGACTCCTGGCCCTGTTATTTCTTTTTAAACTCTAATAAGATGTACATAATATAAACTCTATCATTTAACTACTTTTAAGTGTACCACTCAATGGCATTAAGTATATTCACATTGTACAATCACCGCCATTTTCACCAGAAAATTCTTGTTTTTGAAATAAAGTTTTTTTAATGAGTAAATGTTACAGGACATAGCTGCATCCATCGACACTATTGTGAATGTCTACTTTGGTGCTACACTGGTAGAATTGAGTAGAATTGAGCAGAATTGAGTGGGGTTATGGATATATTTTATTTATCTTCATTGTATCTTTATATATTTTCTGTTTCTATTTCTCTAATGATAATGTATTCATTTTACAACTACAAAAGTAAAAGTTATTTTTAAAAACATTGTAAGGAAGCAAACTTTTATGACTAACACCCTAAACTTTGAGACAAGAAAAACAAGACAAATAATAAACTTTTCATTCTTTCCTATGATATAATTTTGCAATTCTTCGGAGTATTATAATGCTAATGACACAAGAGATAAAAATGATAGCAGTGAATTCTGGTAATTTTAGTCAAAGTTATGAAGTTGCATTATGGATTAAATTCTAGATATGGCTTGGTTTGTTCTGATTTGTCTTTCCTAATATTCTAGTATGTTGACAAATTTAATTATTTACGGTTATCATTTCTCATCCTTACCCAAACACAGATGAAAGACTGCTGATATTTCACTTCTGTATTTTGAAGGGTTTTTGGTGGGGTGGTACATAAAGAAGGTGGACACCCTGTGTAAAAGGGTAATACAGCATACTTGGCCTGTTGCAAGACAAGCAGTGATCATTGTGCGATCCTTAGCGCTCTCTGATCTTTTTTTCCAAGTGTTCTTGACAATGCCTTAATCTGTCAGTTTATCTTCCTTGGAACACTGGAAACTCAGAAAGGTAATATAGCACCCCGGGGGTTAAGACCACATTGACAAAGTATTAGGAAGGTGGTCTTGGGATTTCTCCTCCTGGAAAATACGTTTGCACAATATCTGCTGAGCTATATGCAGTATTTGTCATACTACTTCATTTGTTTTTAGCAAAAGGAAAGAAGAGAGGGTTTCTGGTAGTTTCTGGTTGGATAGTAGTGTTATTACTCTCTGGATAATCACCTTGAAACTGTTGTGGTTTGGAAATGATATGTGCTCCCAAAGCTCATGAGTTGAAAGTTTGGTCCTCAATGCATCGGATATGGGTTTTGAGAACTGATTGAATCCTGAAGGATCTGGTTTCAACAATGGATTAATCCATTTATGGGTTCATAGGTGAAGGCATTATGGAAGGAGGTGAAAACTGTAGTTGATGGGACCCAGTTGAAGGGAGTTGGTCTTGGGGGTGGTTCTTGGAGACTCTATCTTTTCCTATGGAGATGTCCTGCCTAACAACAGGTCTGTAATGGCAAGTCCAAGTGACCACAGACCAAAATCTCTGCAACTGAGCCAAAACAAATCTTTCCTCCTTAAATTAATTTTTTCAATTATTTTGTCATAGCAATGGAAAGCTGACTAATACAGAAACCTAGTCCAAATTGAAACTGGCTCTTGCCCAGGAGACTGACACAAAAGCGAGACTCATAACAATAATAATCATTGAAAGGGAGCTTTGTTGTATGGGTATGTTGCATTTCAATTAATGCACCACATTGAAAATAGCATTGGATAGTAGGTACAATGGATTCTGAATTAAGAAAGCTAGAGAAACCACTCTCTTTTGGCTGGAAATTGAACCTTGTCCTACTGTGCTTGAAGAAATGAAGCAGTGAGAGTGACTGTTTACCCAAATGGGCAGTGTCTTTAGAGGGTTCCACACTGCTTCTAATGCTCATTATCTACAGCAATTCTCTTGTCTATCATTAGAGAAATCTAAGTGCTAATTAAATTTTGACTTCACTGCAAGCCTCCACTGGCTTTGGTTTGTTTTGAATGGAAGCATATATGTTATAAATCTTTGTGTCACACATTGCTACTTTTTAATATTTAATTATGTTTGAATGTCCATAAACTCATGAATTACGTTCCCACTAGTCTCACAAATTAGGCATGAACAGAATTCTACATCCATAGTGAAATGACCTGCAAAGGTGATATCTTTCACCTTGCTATTTAGGCTAATGGAGATCATACATTTCTTCCATTAGGATCATCACCTGAAGGCATCCAGACAAGTCAGAAAGTGTAATTGTGCATCTGTAGAGAACAATTGTTGCCTTAATACTTAGTGAAAAGGGAACTGTTGACTAAATTCCCTCTTAGATGATATGTAGCATCATCTTGCTTCTGTGATCGCTGGAATTGCTTTTTATAAAAATATTTGCATAATTTTTATCATGCAATGATCCAACCCAAACTTCAGGAGGGTAAACATGGGTGTATCTACCTTTTTAAACACCTTACTGATGCTGTGGGCCAGGGTCAGCCTCTGTTTCGCTCTGATGTAGCTTGACGGTAATTGCTTGTTGGTGGGAGAATAGGAGTTTTGCAAGGCAATTACAAAGTGTGAATGAGGAATTTTCCAAATGAACCGCAGGCTCATTTTAATAAAATACTCCTTTAAGGAAAAAGCTTTTCTTTTGTTCCTGTGTTTTGTTGAAGGTAAAACTGAAAGGTTGGTTCTACTTAACAATGCATTTTGAAGCCATGTGATTCCTCTGTTCTCTGAGCTCCCTCACTAGCCAGGTCTCTAACATCCCTCACGCAGCTGAGGCAGTGCCTCTGCGCCTTTACTCTTGTTCATTTCTTGCCTCCTTCCAGGTCAACATTACTTGGTAGCATGGGTGCAAGTTTTGAAAGATCAACACCTTCATGTACTTGGGACGGAATCAAAACTACTTCTCATGGATTATGATAGCTGCCGGATCCATTCGCTATTTTCTTCGCCAGTTACATCACAGAATCTGTCTTTCACACCACCCTTGTTTGGCTTTCTCAAAACCTGGCCTTATGTCTTTATTCTGGGTCCCTCCATACTTGCTAGCTTCTTGTCATTTACCAGTAATAGCCATGACTGCTTCTCACAGATATCTTTCCTTTCTGCTCCGGATGCTTGGATGCTCTCAACCCCATTCTTATAAACTCTGTTTAAAAAGGGTTATGGGTCAAAGGGTACATATTGTTTAAACTTTTAATAAATTCATAAAATTTTAATTCAAAAGACTGTAGTGCCAATTCACATTGTCACAGGCAGTGTAAAAGCATGACTGTCCCTTCACTCTGTCTCCTCTTCCCCAAGCTCATTGCTGGCAGTCCTTTCTGCATTTTATATGAGAAAATAAAAGTCTTATGACAGCATAAATTTAATTCTATTAAGAAATTTAAACCAAGTATGTTGGCACATGCCTGTAATCCCAGGTTGAGGTTGAGGCAGGAGGATCACCATGATTTTGAGACCATCCTGAGACAACTGGGCATCCTGAGACAACTAGTTCCTGTCTCAAAAAAAAATGTTTTCTAAAAACTTTATTTAAAGTCTTATAATTTATTTAATTATGACTTAAAGGTTGCAGAAAATTAAAATAAGACGAGTTTGTCAATTTAGCTAGGTGTGGTGGTATATACCTGTAGTCTCCAGCACGTGCACACACACATGACTAAATTCAGAGCTTCATTAGTAGTGGATCTTGGTTAGATCCAAGGGACCTGGCATCCCTCATCTTAGCTTTTCTGTCATCACAAGTGACTC